GTTGTGTACCTAATTAATGCTGTATAGAGAGACTAATAAATATTCCATCATCATTATACTTGAAGAATACTACTTCCTCCGTCCCATTGTATATGAGTTAATTTGATTTAACACGAAGTTTAAGAAAGAATGATTTTTTTAAAAATTTGTGGTCTAAAATAAGTGATACATGCTTGTGTGGCTATAAATTATTTTATTAAGAGTAAAATATACATTTTAAAGTTAAATTATTACTTAATATAGAAATACGTGATTGTCCAAAAAAAAGTACAAATAGCAGCCCTCGACCCCCCTAGGGTATGGCCTACTGGCCCGCAGATGCAGGAAGGCTGCCTGCCTGCTAACCAAACTGCGTAACCAAAGCGACTCCTTGTTGGTGGTTGATAGGTGTTGGTAGTAGCTTTTTCCTTCATTTTCAACTATCGTTTTAGCTCAAAATTTATTAATTACAAAAATAATTTTCGAATTCAAAGTTAAAAATTGATAATTATTTTTAATTATACCTTTAATATTAAGAGCTATGCATATCATTTAATAGAAAAAATCAATCGATCTTTATTAAATATAGTTAACTTAATAAAATATATCTTATATTTATGATTTTCGTAGTTAGCGTGAAAAAATTAAAACAATAATTAAAATGAGACGGAGAAAGTACTAGCTAGTTCATTGGGTTTCTAGAGCTTTCTTTCATGTCAAATACTTGTGCAATTGTCTTAAGTTCTACTCATTATTGTACTTGACCTCAAATACAAGTAGGGTAATAAAATTATAAATGGTTCGGATTATGACTTGATTTTTAATTCATTTTTGTCCAATCTAACTTAAATAACTCATCTATTTATAAATTTATTTCATTTTAATATTCTCAAATTCAGTTTAACCCTTTTACTCAATATTCCTAAATACAAGTATAATATATGAAAGAATTGATTACAATTAATAATGAATCCAATATAAAAGTAAGTATTTTTTTTTTATGATTACTATTGACTTATAACGATCAAATTAAGGCTTTTATCGATCATATTTGCCCTAACTCACTATAGTCCTTTTTTCTTGTACTTGTGTACACATTTTCTCTTATTTTTTCCAAAAGGAAAAAAAAATAAAAAATAGAGTCCAAGTTGTCAACTTGGCTGTGTTAATTAGCAGAGGATGTATAACATATACTCCTTCCGTCCCATTTTATGTGACAACATTTGATTGGGTACGAAGTTTAAGAAATAAATAAAGACTTTGAAATGTTACCAAATTGCCCTTTAAAAAGTATACTCTTTTTTCTCTCTCCTCATAAATGTATTGGAGTATTATTTTAAGATTAAGTGGGACCAACAAGGATAAAAGAGGAATTGTACCTTTATAAACTTACCATATAAGGAAATGTGACATTCTTTTTGGGATTGACCAAAAAGGAAATGGTGCCACATAAAATGGGACGGAGGGAGTACATATAATTCCATTTTAGTCGTTTGAAATCAGTAGCGGAATCACATTTTTTATTAAGGAATCTAAAATACAAAGTAGTATCCACGTAAAGAAGTCAAAAGGATTCAATATCTACTATATATATGTAAAAAATAATTTTAATTATTTATAAATAGTATAATTTTTTATCGAAAGGGGTTTCATCCTATATGAAATAATTTAATAAAAAATAAGTCATGAAAAAAGAAAAGAAAAAAAAAGGTCCACACGGCTTTGAATTTAATTTTAAGCCAGTTTCCCATTGAGACCTCCGGCTTATATATTCTTTAGCGACCGATTATCAGAAAATATTATTAATTTTGAACAATTTAAGAATTTAACGATGAATTTGATAGCTAAATTTAATTTTTTTTAAATAGCAAATTAAGTGTTAGCTTAGAGTCATGTTAATTTATAGTATCTTTTTCTTCTTTGAAATTTTAATGATTTCATATTGTATACGTTGACAATATAGATTTATTTTATATTAACAAATTAAGTTAATTTATAATAATAAATTAAGGGTGCAACAATTATATGGAGTGTCAAAAAAAGAGATAGATATCTTCATATGCTTTTTGAATATTTTTGAATCATGATTATATAAATTTTAAATTAAAAAACTTAAAAAGTCTATGTTCGAAGTCACACTAAAAAAATTGATGGTTCAACTTTGGTATATCGTTTTACATAAAAAGTGAGATGGAGGGAATATTATTTAATGGTTCATGTGAAACATCTCTACTACTCAAAATTAAAATTAATTTAAAATCATGAAACACATTTCTTCTTCTTTTTTTTTTATAAAAAAATAAAACAAAATTGTTATGGTGGTGAAATGTGTAATCAAATAGTTTTAAAACATGAGTACTTTAGTATAAGAAATATTAGTTGTGAAACATACTTTTTTTCTTTTAAAGCAAAGACATGGTCATGTAATGTGTATTCAAACTTGGTCCTAAAATAAAACTACCTTATAAGAATATTTGACTAAAATATTGGTTAAGTAGAAGTTTCTTTGTGGGAATTGAAGGATAATTTTATTTTCCATTGCCATTTTTTTCCTTTTTTAAGTCTAGTCATTCCCTAAGAATATTGATTTTGAGTCTATTGATAAGATTGAGAATGATAGCCTAAGTTGAATACAATATAGTCAATACTCAATAACTAACCCTTCATTTCTAGCTTGCAAGTAGTAGTACTAGTTAGTGTCACATTCATACCAACAAAATAAAGAAAATAAATGTGGGGGGTGTGGGGGGGGGGGGGTAGG